TTGGTTCTAAAGTGGAGGATCTAATGCATAGGATTATTGTGAGCTCAAAAGTTATATATAAAAGCTCTTGGTACATGGTGTATGCTCAACAAAAGGTTGCCCAGATTACGATCATCTGCTTTGTCACATTATGTCTTTCTGATAAATCCAGTGCCTGCATTCTGCTTCACAGTACTTTCTATGGTTAACTTAGCGGAAGATTGAGTCATCCGTTGTTTGTCTACAGTCATCTCGAATGGTCTCTACTTAAATTAATGATAAAATACTTTATCTGCTTTACTGAATGCAGGATAGACATTCTAAATCTTTATCAGCAGGTGAAACTTAGAAAATGCAATTTTCCTGGTTAGTGAAATCATCACAGCTGCTGAATTTACGTTGCCTTTAGTTGCCTTTAAGTGTTTTCTGCCAAAGTGAAACTCTAACCATCCTGGGAAGAAAGGCTATAGAATTTAAAAAGGCACAATTCAAGCGAGAGCCACAAATACACATTTATCCAGTGAGGGAACTTTATTTTCTTCTTTTGAAATGATGTTGTCTTTCTCATTAATGTTCATTAACTTGTTAATAATGGCCAGCTGGACATGCGGAATGGCCAGACCTAGTTTTCAAGGGGTTACTTAAATAGTGTGTATACTAAAGACTGAATTTGTGAAGCCCTTGACTATGCTGAAAACAGGTTAAGTTCTAAAAATTTAAATTTGCTTTTGATTGCCTTCCCAGTTAATTTTGTTGTATATTGTGAAACTTCTCTTATTTCTGTTTCTACTTTTTCAGTAGTGATTGTTTATTATCCCTTTAGATTAATAAAAATGAAGCATTTTTCTTCAGCGTTTATCCATTGTTCAGCTTGGTCAATTCCTTTTAATAGTGATCAATAGAAAATACTCATATTGGGATTGTTTCCTACAGCCTGACATCAGCCAGGCTCAACCTTTGAGCTCTAATTTAACATGAATGCTGTAGCAGCTGCCATTCCCAAATCAATGGGCTTTGGTGAAAAGTACAGCTAGCCTTATCCTTCTTGCCTGTCCACTAGGATGAGGTTTAGAGATTAGGGTCAGTCAACTTGATTTATCCTCTCGGCAGCTTACTTCTTTCCCTGAAAGTCACCTTTATTTTTCAGCCTGTTTCTTTTGTTTTCATTGCTAGCTTTTCATTTTTAGTTTTCCCTTCCAAGCTGGGAATAAAACTGGCCAAGAAGAAAATTGCAAAAATTATATT